ATAACTTGTATCACTTGGATATTAGTTACACCTTTTTCTTTTTAATATTTTTTAGTTGTTGGTGAGCCTTTATTTTATTTATTTATATACAGTGCTAAGAATCAAACCCAGTGCCTCACACATGCTAGGCAAGCGCTCTTCCACTGAGCTACAACCCAAGCCCATTAGTTGCACCTTCAAATATTTAATCCTTAAAACCTTGTTTGAATCTACATCTTTCTGAATTTTGGGAAGAATGAAGGGACAACTTACACTGAGTTTTATCTGATAAATCTGATAAATATGAGATATGTAATTCCATGTTATGTGTGTTCTCTTTCAGACCAGTTGGATGCAGTCTTTATTCCTGTCATAAATTTCAGCTGTGGGATATTTGCTGGTATTCTGGCCTCCCTGGTAACTCAACCTGCGGATGTTATCAAGACCCACATGCAGCTCTCCCCAGTGAAGTTTCAGTGGATAGGCCAAGCAGTAACTATCATTTTCAAAGTAAGACCATAGAATGAGTATAGTTTCTTGTAGTGGATAAGGATCTCTCTCTAAAGCAGTAGTTCTTGTCCTTCATTCATTTGGAATCATTTGAGAAGCTTTTAGAAATCTGCATTCCCAGGTCAAAATCTAGGCCAAAGATATCAGCGATCTGGTGGAAGGGTAGTATCAGAACTATTTTTTTAGGGGCTTGGGGTGTAGCTCAGTAGTAGAGCATGTGCTTAGCATGTATAAGACTGTGGGCTCAACTCCAGCACCAAAAGAAAAAAAAAATCAGAAAAGTTTTGTTTAAAGGTCCCAGTAATCCCAGTGTGCTGCCAAGGTTGAGAACCATAGAAGCTTATGTGTTTTTGTTTTTGTTTTGAGGGGAGGGGCACCTATATTAGGATCCCCTGTTCATCAACATGCAGATTGTTTGACTATAGCCCAGATCTGCTGAGCAGGACGTCTGGGTGGTCTCAGTACTCTAATTAAGGACATAGGAAAAAAGATAGAAAAGAAGCATACATATTATGTTCTAGCTGTTTGGTCTAATACAAATGGTACTGAAAATAAACTGTTATAAAAGATATAAAAGGCACTAAAGCACTATTTAAAAACCAGTGGATTGGCCGTTTTGGAACACAGTACTGTTATCACACACCAGATATTCCTGTTAAAAATAAATGTGAATTTGTGACTCTAATACTGCTCATACCATTTAGGCTGTCTGCTTTCTTATTCTCTGTACATAAAGTCATGAAGTATAACAATAATATATTTTTCAATATATGTGAGATTGCAAATCATTTCAGGTTATGAGGGAGAAAGAAGAGGTGTTTTGCTAGGTGCAGAGGTACATGCCTCCCAGCGGTTTAGGAGGCTAAGGCAAGAGGATCAGGAGTTCAAAGCCAGACTCAGCAAAAGCAAGGCACTAAGCAATTCAGTGAGACCCTGTCTCTAAATAAAATACAAAATAGGGATGGGGATGTGGCTCAGTGGTTGAGTGCCCCTGAGTTCAATCCCTGTTACCCCCTAAAAAAATGAAGAGGTGTTTTGCCTTTAATTCTTATACAGATAGGGCTACCAGGAGCACACAGTGAATTACACAAAAAGTACTCCCTCCTGATAGACAAATGGTAAGAAGCCTACTCTTCCTTCAGTCTGTATCCAGGATCCAGGTTTGGCAAACAAACCTTGGCATGGATTTCATCTGCTACTTGGGGCTCAGTGCTTCTGTGTAGTGTACAGACTATACAACTATACACAATAATCTTGCATGACGTAGGGGGCCTATTAGTTTTGCTCATGGTAGAGAGCATGCTTAATATGTACAAGTCTGGATTTAGTACCTAGCACCCCTCACTCAAAAACATAAAACAAAAAGATTTTTAAGACATTCTCTTAGATAGAACAGGCTTAAAGCCTAGCAGGTATGCAAAATGATTTTTTTTTTATTCTTCTGTTACCAGGGATTAAATCCAGGGCTGCTCCATGCTGAGCTACATCCCTAGCCCTTTTTATTTTTTATTTGGGGACAGGATCTTGCCAAGTTGTTGAGGCTGGCCTTGATATGCATCTTTCTGCCTCAGTCTCCTGAATTGCTGGAATTACAGGCATGCACCATCACAGCTGGTCAAAAAACATTTTTTAAACTTCATTAGTTATCTTTTTTTCCTTTTGTGGTGGTAGTGGAGTACCAGGGATTGAATACAGGGGCACTCAATCACTGAGGCACATCCCCAGCCCTATTTTGTATTTTATTTAGAGTCAGTATCTCACTGAATTGCTTAGTACCTCGCTTTTGCTGAGGCTGGCTTTGAACTCGTGATCCTCTTGCCTCAGCCTCTTAAGCCACTAGGATTACAGGTGTGTACCACCAGGTCTTATTCATAGATATGGCATATACTTTAGAAACTAAGACTCAGAAACAAGGTAACAGAGACTCTCTGGTGCCAGATGGATAGTTAATTATATTACTCCTTTATTTCTGGAGTTTTGACATTTATTTTCATCATAGGACCATGGGTTGCGTGGCTTCTTTCAAGGCAGTGTTCCCCGGGCCCTCCGAAGAACTCTGATGGCAGCAATGGCATGGACGGTCTATGAAGAGATGATGGCCAAAATGGGCCTGAAGTCCTGATAAGAGAGGACCAGGAAAGGGTGGAATCTGCTGTCCTGCTTGGTTCCTGTCAAGCACTGCTTTATCTCAGCATCTGGAGTCTGGTGAAGTCCTACCTGGAAAGCCAGGAAGAAACATGTTTGCCTTCAGTCCCCCATTGAAGGAGAGACCTGCCTGGAGGCTTCAGATTCCCAGAAAAGGAGTCACCAATGCACAACACAGCCCACTAAAAAGTTGGGACAGAGGTTCGCACATCCTGCAAACTACTTGAAAGGCATTTCCAGAGAGATGTCTGCCAGGTGGTTCTGCTTTAGCCACCTGCCTACACTACAGCTCTTTGAGCATGTGCTGGGGCAAGGAGTCATAATCCGGAGAAGCTGTAGGCCTCCTTCCATGTCTAAGGAGCTCTACATGGGGAAGACTAGATCTGAGAAGAGACATAGTGATGTCTACCAGGTGAAGACTATCTGAAGTATACCAGGTGTAAGAAGAAAATATTTCATTTATTTGGTTCCTAATCATCTTCTCAGAGGCTCTGGAGAATGGGGACAGTAACTTCCTAGTCTCTAAATGTCCAAAGAAAAATTTTTGGTGTTGGCCCCTGTACTGTTTCAACTCTAAGCTGTTCCGGCTTTTTTCCACAACTAAAGTTTGGATTAATAAAGCAATATTCTTTATCATTGAAAGCTGTTTGTAAAATTTAAATAGTATATTTATCATTCTGTTTGAAAATAATAAATTAGTTCTAGGGTGGTTGTTAACTTATATAGGTCATTAAAACCTAATTTTTAAAAAATAACCTTGTTTTACATATTATACAATTCATCCATTTCAAGTATACAATTCAGTGATTTTCAGTAACTTTACTGAAAGGCGTAGCCATCACCATAAATTAGTTGTGAACATTTTCATTCCCTAGTAAGATCTCTCATACCCATTCATAATTAGTCTTCATTTCCATCCCCAGCCTACCACTCATCTACTTTCTGTCTATAAATTCACCTTTTCTGGACCCTTCATATAATAATAAATAGCTTGTATTAGCTTGTATTTAGCTTCTTTCCACTTAGTATGTTTTTGAGGTTGATTCATGGTGTGACATGTTTGATTCTTTATTCTTTTTTATGCCCAAATAACATTCTATTGTATGCATGTATGGTTGACCTACAGTGTACATGGAGATTTTATGCAGGCCCTCCCATGGATGGTCAACTTCCTTATATAGGATGGCATAATATTTGCATGTAACCTACATCATCTTCCCTTATATTTTAAATCATCTCTAAATTACTCATAATTTATATCAAATGTAATGTAAATACTTTGGAACTAGTTGACACACTGCATTGTTCAAGGAATAATGACAAGAAGAGTCAATACATGTTCAGTACAAATATAAGGTTTTTTTTGTTTTAACCTTTTTAATCACATTTTAGTTGAGTTTATATATATGTAACTCTAGGACCAGCCAGGCAACTGTGCTTTATTAATCCATTCTTGAATTGAAGAATGTTTGGGTTAATTTCACTTTGAAGCTGTTGTAAATAATGCTGCCATGAATATTCATGTACAAGTGTTGGGATTTTTTTTTTCATTTTTCTTGAGCATATACTTAGGAGTGGAATTACTAGACCAAATGGTAAATGTTTAATACTTTGGGAAGTTTTCAAAAACTGTTTTCCAAAGCAGCTGCACCATTTTACATTCCCAGCAGGACTGTGTAGAATTTCCAGGTTCTCCACATCCCCTTCAACCTGTGTTACTGTCCCCTTCTACTGGGGCTATCCAAGTATTTTCTTTCAAATTTAGGAGAGTCATTGCTTTATCCAAGGAGCAGACGGAGTTGTGTGGTCTTGTGGTTATCTTGGGTTCTGATCCACATAGCACTTCACTTAGACATATTGAAATTGTGCCTAGGAAATGGGAATAGTTAATATTTTCTACCTCCTAGGGTGGTAGTGAGGGTTGAGTGAGTAAATGTTTCTAGAACATTGTATTAGTTTCATAGGGTTGTATCAACAAATTAACCATAAGCTGGATCACCAAAACAACATAAATTGTTTCAGTTCTGGAGATAAAGCAGAGCATTTACTTCATGCTCTCTTGAAGGTTCTGGAGAACCATTTCTTGTCTGTTCTTCCGGTGACTGTTGGCAATCCTTGGTGTTCCTGGGTTTACACATGCATCACTCTGATCCCCTACCTCTGTCTTCATGTTTTCTTCTCTGGGTATGTCTCTCCATGTCCAAATATCTCTCTTAAGGACTCTAGTCACCCAGACCCAGGACCTCATTTTAGCTTGATTACAAATGCATAACGACCCTATTTCCAAAAAAGTTCATATCCACAGCTACTATAGATTAGAACTCCAGCATGTATTTTGGGGGCATGCTTCATCCCATAGCATAAATATATTTAATGATTTATAAGTTTACAATAAGTTTATACTTTAAGTTTTAAGTTAAAATGTCCTATTTAAAATAATTTGGGTAGGACTATGGGAGAGCATAAAGCAGTTCCTGGCTTCATAGTGGCACCCAAACCACCAGTGTGGTGATCTCCATGTTGTGAGCCCTGTGCTGGGAGAAGCACTTAAGATGTGAAAGACGGGAAGGCAAGTTGGACAGAGTAGCTATCTCTTAAACTTGGGACATGGTAGCTGTTCCATGTCCTCAGGATCTCTTCAGTCTCCTTTGACCCTTGAGGCCAGAGAACCTGTAGGTGAGGCCCCTTGGGGAAGAGGGGCAGAGATGAATCTGGATGTATGGACTTCCCATGTGGATTTGCTGCCTTACACCTGGTGAATTTCAGTCACTGGAGCTCTGGGGTAGTGTTTCTTTTGCTTTGAGGGGGTGGGAGTGCAAATAAACAGAAGAAATAGCTTAATTTTCTCCAAACATGAAATAAGACTGAAATTTACTGGAAATCCTGATTCCAGTGGCAAGTGGTCCTAGAACACATTCCAAGCCCCAAGGATAACTCACCTTTTCTTTCATGTCTCATGGGATTGAAGCTCAGAAATGAAGTGACTAGGAGTTCCATCTGGCATTTGAAACTTTGCCCATTGCCCTGTATTATTTTGTTTCAATTTGAAAACCTGTGTTCCTCATTGAAAAAAAATTAATATACTAGAAAAAGAGGGGACGGGGAAAGCCAATGCCCTTATATCATATGTGGTCCTCAGGTTAACTTCACATAGAATTATCTGGGAGCTATTTGTAAACTAAACAAAAATAAAAAAAAAAAAATCTGGGGTTGGGCACTATACCTTTAAAAACTCTCCAAATAGATTCTAAGTGCAAGCAGGGTTGAGATCTGCTGTATTATTAATAATTTAAATTTTGCTATTTCTTTATGGTAATCTTTTAGTAGCACAGGACTTAAACCTTCATAATTGTCCTCATTCCTAAAAATTATTTTTGGTATCACAGAACATAACTTCATTATTTTTTAAATATTTTTTTTTAGTTGTCATTGGACCTTTATTGATACTCAGTGCTGAGAGTTGAACCCCAGTGCCTCACACTAAGCAAGTGCTCTGCCACTGAGCCATAATCCCAGTCCAAGTTTCATTATTTTTAAGTGGCTGCATGGTATTGTATTGGATGGAATAAATCTTTATTAATGGCCTACAGATAGAAACTGCATTTTTTGTGTGTGTGTGTGTGGGGGGGTCTACCAAAAACTAACAACCTCAAGTGTACAGTCTTTTTTTTTGGGAAACTTTCCGTAAGTGAACACTTGAAATCTGAATTACATGCTGGTAATAGTTCCTCCAGGTTTTGTTTACTTAACACTTAGGCTTGATGTGGTGCACATACATTACAATAAGAGAAACTCAGACGACGAAACGGCCCAAGTTCACCTGCGACTCGGTAAGACAGTCACACACTTGGCCCGCGGCCGTGTCCCAGCGCTCCAGCAAGCATTCTTGACAGGAAATTAAACCCTAAACTCCCGGTTCAAAATAGTCTGCGCTTGCGCTGTGAGTCCGCCTTCCGGAGCGGGAAGTCGCGTCCCAGCGTCGCGCCGCTCCGCCCCGCCCTCCTTCCGCTTGATTTTCTTTGCCATTGGTTGATGATGTGCTATATAAGAACGTCATTTCCGGCGGCCTGTCCTTTCCGCGCTACCCAGGGAGGGATCCATACGGCGTTGTTCTTGGTGCGTTTTTTTGGGGGACGCCTCGCGCTTCCTTAATCAGCCTGAACCAGTTTCCTATGCAGATAAAGGGCGCGAAAACTAAAATGAAGGCCCGTGGGGCCTGGGCCGCCTTCCGTCGGCGTGCTCTGCCTCAGGCCTGCGGCCCACACGTGGCTAGGCTCCCGGGCCGAGGTAGGGCCCATGGCGTGAGTGGGCTGGGTCCCTTCGCGCCCCAACGGCAGTAAACCGAGACCCAAGGGGCGATCTACACCACCTGCTTGGCTGTTGTGTTTTCTGTTAGCGCCTTGCGGGTCAGGAATTAAAATTCTTAGCAAGGATTTCGGAAACTAGTGATGGCTTGGGGGGAAGTAAACTCCTAAACTTAGGGTTACAACCTTCTGGGGGAAAGAAAAAAACTGTTAAGCTTGGCATATGTTCAAACATGGCAGCTCTTTTCACATCTAGTTACCTTTGTCCGTAACTTAGCTTTATTCTTGTGTACCTTGGGAATCGTTAAATTTAGTTCGCTGGTTTTTAAATTACCTTGGTATTTTGTGATTCATGCTACTTTTCTTTACAAGATTTGATATGCTGGGCGTGGTGGCTCACACCTGCAAATCCAGCGCCTCCAATGACTGAGGCAAGAGAATTGCAAGTGAGTTTCTAACTCAAAAAGGACTGGGTAGATAACTGAGTGGTGAGTGCCTCTGGGTTCAATTACCGGTACCAAAAAAGAGTTAATTTGCTGTAACTCTTAGTATGCTATGCATCCGTTAATTTTCTATCTTGTTCTTTCACTACCTTGTAAGCTCAGTACCTGACACTGTAGATGATGAAATTTGGTTGCATTTAAACTTGAAGTTTAAATGGAGCCACCCCTATTGCTGGTATAGATAGAAAGCATTCCTCTTTCACTTCATTCACACTAGATTGTTAACATTTTTCTTTCAGATTCCCGTCGTAACTTTAAAGGGAAACTGTCACAATGTCCGGAGCCCTTGATGTCCTGCAAATGAAGGAGGAGGATGTCCTCAAATTCCTTGCAGCAGGAACCCACTTAGGTGGCACCAACCTTGATTTCCAGATGGAACAGTATATCTACAAAAGGAAAAGCGATGG